GCGTACATCGCTATGCTTGCTACCAGCGCTTCATATAGTTTTATCCTTCTTACCCAGTCTCCTCCAAATAACCTTTTCCCTATTCCCCAGACTTGTCTCATTGCTATGGTTGCTTTCCTTACTCTTTCTCTTATGTGCGCCTCTTGTGTCCTCCATTTTTCTGAAATATGTATCCTAGGTAGCAGAATTCTTTTACTTCCTCTATCTCTTCTCCTTTCCACTTCCATTCTGTTTTCTTCATTTTGCCTCCTCCTTTCCTGAATCTCATTATCTTTGTTTTTTCTATATTTACTTTCAGTTTTTTTCTGTCGAAGTATCTCTCCATTCTTTTCAACATTCTCTTCATCTCCTCTTCATCTTCCGCTATAGCTACTATATCGTCTGCATATGCTAGCGTCCAGAATTTTGTTTTCCCTACTACTACTCCTCCATCTTGTCCTTTCCTCATTGTTTCTTCTAGATCTGCCAGTAGTAGAATGAATAGCATAGCGCTCATTGGGCATCCTTGTCTAACTCCTTACAAAGAAAATATATTCAATTAGTTGATAGTATAGATACGGATACATAAGCATTTGTTTTTTCATATTTAATTAGATTTTGTATTACATAATACTTAGAAAGGAATCAACTAATTGAATACATTTTCTCTGTAATACTTAGACAGAAATATAGATTTTTTAATATTTCTTTCTAAGTAATCCAAAGAAAATGTATTCAAATAGTTAGTAGTATAGATACGGATACATAAGCATTTGTTTTTCATATTTAATTAGATTTTATATTCCTTTCTAAGTATTATGTAATCTTTTGATTTTTATATTCCGTTCCAAGTTATACAAAGAAAATATATTCAATTAGTTGATAGTATAAATACGGATACATAAGCATTTGTTTTTTCATATTTAATTAATTTAATATCACATCATTATAGGGAGAAGTTCGCTGATGAAGACTAAGTAGAGTCGAAACGTTTGAACGATAATTTTAATTTTTAATTGTTAATTGTACAAGTTTCAACCTTATTCGTGTATCTCTAATTTATTATTTTTATTTATAAGTTATTCAACTTCTTCTTCTGTATCCTTCGATCTTATTTGTTTGCGTCGTTATACTTTTACTTTGTTCCTTGATTATAAAATATTTAACTGCGATATATTAAATTGAGTTGCTCGTTACATTATTGGCCTTTTGATATATTTAATTTTATATAAAAAAACGAGCTTGCCAAAAATTGATATTAATTAATTTTGTATTACATAATATATAGATAGTAAATTAAGGAATATAAGAAAGCAAAGAATTCAAAATATTTACACGAAAATGTCCTTTAATTAGTATGTGCAATCTGTAAATTTTTCCACGATTTAAATAAAATCTAATAAAATAGAACAAGTCTCAAATCATAGATTCCTGCCATTCCACACGACCAACTGTATTAAAATATTCATTAAAAATGTTACGAATAGAAATTGCGTTTTTGCTAGGTCTTATATTAATTGTTCCTAAATTACGTAATTCGGTATTATGCGATCTCCATTCAGCTGGTATTATTGTGCGATTTTCTATATTTTCAACATCCGTTGCCATATGTAAATAAGCAGTATTTTCTTTAGCCAAATAAGTATGTAATGTACAACAAGCAAGTGTTACAGTTTGCACAGTTTCAACAGGCAAGTACATTTTTGTTAACAATACACGAAATCTATTTGCTAAGATGCCAAATGTATTTTCAACAACTCTCCTACCTCGACTTAATCTGTAATTAAATATTCTTTCATCGTGAGTTAAATTTTTTGATGGGTTAGGCTTTAAGATGTGATTTTGGAGTGGAAAAGCAGCATCGGCTGAAATTACATGAGGCACAGATCACGAGACACGGTAGTGTCTCGCGCCAAGTGTAAGCGTAGCTAGTACACGCGTGCGAGACCGACCGTGTAAGTTTACGCGAGTACACGAGTTGACGGGCCCTCAGATTTTCGGATCTCAACAACGGCTGATCCGACGAAATTGAGACTGCGCTTAATCGATAGCTTGGGTACGATTTGCATAATAAAAGTGTTTTTACTTTTTTCCTACGTGCTCCAAGAGTGGAGGTATTGCAATGCAAAAGTTAGATTTGTTAAATTTTGGATTAAGAAACGTTTTTGTCGTCGTCTTGGTCGTCTTCGTCCCGGTCGTCGTCGTCGTCGTCGACCAGACCAGCATTTTCACTTGATTTTTCACTTGACCACGTTGCAATTGACCACGGTCCCGAACGACCACGTTGCAATTGACCACGGTCCCGATTGACCACGTTGCAATTGACCACGGTCCCGATTGACCACGTTGCAATTGACCACGGTCCCGATTGGCCACGTTGCAATTGACCACGGTCCCGATTGGCCACGGTCTCGATTGGCCACGGTCCCGATTGACCAC